TGATGATGATGATGGTGATGAACAACAATAACTAGAAGCAAGAAAATGATGATAAGGCACTCCTTAAAAAGAAATGGTGTTTTTCTTGAAGATAAAGCGATACCCTGTAGAGAGTAATGAGAATGCATCTTAAGACAATTTGTTACTGAATAAATTCTCGTTCTACGTTTAATACTATATAAATGTCTATTTATATTTGTATTATTATTTAACTTTTGATACATAATATGTATAATGGTTCCCACGGTTTACATCATTATTATATATAAACGCATATATCGCAACAATACCTTATGATGATGAGTAAATTGGATGAGAATCATCTGAACATTTGCTCAATACTTTTATCAGGTGCAAATTCAACTGTCAATGAGCAACATTTTCCTCCTCAAGTATTGGGATGAAGTTATTTCAACATTTTAATGAACATTGAAAGGATTGGAAATTTTGTCTAACTTCAAATTCTTGATCAAAATTTTCATTTGCTTTTGATTGGAATTTTGGTTTTTGGAACTTTTTTAGTTCTGTTTTTAAGTTTGAAATGGACAGTTATCATAACAATGAGTTATGACCAATGAAAGGCAAGGTCAAGCGTTTCTTTTAATAAAGATGTTCACTTGAAGAACATGTTTTTCAGGATTTATTCATAAGTTATCTCAAGTCTATATGATCTTTGAATAGTCAGGAAAAGATGAAGTTTCATGAAGAGGTTATTAAAGGCTAAATGTAGATAATCTTGTCTTTAGTTGATCAATTTGTATTGACATTGAATTACAAACACAAAATCATCTAATTATAACAAATGTTGAAATTTATTTCAATTATTGAATCAACCCGGGTAGAGATTTTGAGCTACGCGAGACAGATTCTTGGTAGACAATCGTAATTTAAGTATGATCTTGATCAAAGATAGTTAATGAAAAAATTGCTTGGGAAATTATCAAGTATTTGATGGTTTTTTTCAATTTTTACTGAGACGGTTCACAAAAATATCTTGAAAAAAATAATTGACAAGTTCTTAGTAGCTGCATGGAAATTTTAATGTCGTATTTTACTAATCAAGATCATGTTGTAACAAAATGATTTAGACGTCAAGAATTAATCATGTTCAAACGGTGTATCAATCTCATTTATCCAAAATTCGTTTTGCAAGATCTTGCTGGATAAGAAAATAGGAATAAGAATGCATCGGTTGATAATACAACTAGAATGTATCAATTTTTCAAGATTTGTCTTTCGTACTCGTTTGAATATTTTATTATAACATTGCGCTATGATTGGGTTTTCAAGCGTAGGCAATATTAGTTTAGGAAAGTCAGGGACTATTTTCTGATTCCTAAGTTCTTGTAAGTGTGTAATAACAGCATAATAATTATCTTCATATTCTGTTAATTTAATGAAACATTTTATAATTGCGAATAACTTTTGATTTCCGCTTGAATATGAAGCAACATAACTACAAGAACCTCTCTTATATTTGTATTTTTCACTGTGAAAAGTAACATGATCTTGCTTGAATCTATGGAAAAATTCAACTGATGATGAAGCAAGATCATGATGGTTACTCAGACTTTCTTGTATTTCTTCTGTGAGCTGATAATTTTCATCAAAACAGCTTGAAATTTCCGCTGAGGCTGATCTTTTCCTGAATCCTAAGATATCAGATTGGGCTTGTAAGTGGAAAGCATCAAAGCAATCAGCAATTCGAGTCTGATATTTATCAAAGCCCTTCGACCTCAAATATGCTTTACACATTTGATCAAGTTGACCACGAGTTCCGTGGAAAGATCTTTTCAAGTTAAATATGTTGTTTTCAAATACAAATGAACTTGCTTCAATCAAACAACCAAGGTTAGTAACTTGTGTGCTCAAATGGGTCAAAAGATGAAGATTGAAGGGCATTTTATCAATCCCGTAAAGTTCCTGAAATGCGACAAGAAAGATCTTGATGAGCTGTTCAGCTTGTATCTGCAAACTTCGAGGTAAATCAGAATAACACAAATATCTTGTAAAAGTAGAAAGCAAAGCAATAAGAACATACGAATCAGGATCGACTATATCTCGTAAAATCGGTATCAAGTGAAGCAAAAAAGTTCTTGACTCTGAAGCTTTCCAGTACTTGATTTCAGAAAGACTTCGAAAGCGTCTGCTTAAATCATGTGGTAAGCTAATGTGAGCTACATATTGATCAATTGTTTTGATGACATCTCGCCTATTGAAAGGATCCAGGGTCAAAAGATGCTTGAAAGCCCCTTCAAGAATTGTGTGCATGTAGTCGATGGGAACTTGATTGGGTATTTGGATAATTTTGCTTAGTTTAGTCGATCCCTTGATTCCGAATCTTTCAGAATTATTCCTATCCGCAATTTCACCATTTCTCATATAAAATTCATTGTCCTTGTATAGATCATCAGAGTTTTCATCAAATGGATAACAGAAAGTTCTTGTTCCTCTTTGAGTGGCCGTTGAAGATCCTTTTATACAACAGTAAGGACATCCAAACATCCCATTGAAAGCTTTATGATTTAAAGCTTTGTATTTTGCGACAGAGTCCATTACAATGATTCCGACTCGAATGTGCAAGTAAATTTTACCAAGACTAGTATCTAAAACAACAGGTTCTTGAAGATAATTTAGAAAGTTCAGCGGCTCAATCAGCACTTTGTCTATTAGAATATCGGGTCTTAGTTTTTGATTGCCCCAATAAATGGCTAAATTATAAATATTTTCTTTTACAACTCGACGGTGATATGGCAATTCCGCAATCGTGAATGTAACTGGTGTCGTGCATGTTTGATTTGATTTCATCATTGCAGCATCATCGATACTGACGATTAAAGTTAATTTCAATCCATTATCAATGTTATTCCATAAATGTGAGTAAGTTCTTGACGATGTAAATGTGGATGATCCATTATTAACTGGACAGGAAATATACTCATAGTTTTTTTCAATAATGTCAACCAATGAATCCAGCAAACTAAAAACGACAATATCAGCAACATCAGGCGAATTACAGCATAAACGATCATTCTCACTGATATACTTTTCATGGACATGGCAATATTTAAGTTTATAGGCAGTGATTGAACATATATTTTCCACAAAATTTAAGTGCTTACAGTAACGATCAAGTTCTCGTTGAGGGTATATCAAAATACGGATCAATTCATAAAGCTTTCTTTCACATGTTTGACTCAGGTTACATTCACTGAAGATATAGGAAATAAGAAGGTGTATTTGTTGAATTATGTCCACATTTGAATGCAAATCATGAACTTGCAATGTAGATGCTCCGGGCTCAATAACTGCAAGATCTTGATGGTCAAATTCAATTTCATTATCCGAGTCACATTGTGAATGATGGTCAATGTTAAGGTCACATTGATGAGAGAAATTCACTGGCTGTTCAACACGTTTTTTTAGAGCTCTATCAATTCTTCTGGCATGTTGCAACAGTAACTGATATCTTGAAGAGTGTAATCTTGATTTAATTGTTGAAGCAATTAATCGAGATCTTACAGGTGGTAAATTATGTTTAAACTTTTTACTTAGAAACATGATTAAATATAACACTATTGATAATTTAATTAAATTGAAATAGTATTTGCTGAGCATATCACACATTGAAAGAGTTAGTTGAGATATCTAAACGATATCTTGATACTAAAAAGATATCTTTGATGCAGCTGATTCGCTTTTAGCCAATGAAAAGCTTGCCTGTTAAATATAAAACAAGATCTTGTCGTTCCAAAAATTACATTTAACTTGATGTTCAATTGTTTGTTATAATTGTGCTTTACAGTTCTATTTGAATTTATAAAACAAGTGATGGATTTGAATCAAATTTCAAAAAAAAGTCAATATTTCGTCTCTATTGATGACGCGCAAATTATTATATACAATGTTAACGATAAAACATCTTACGTCCGACAAGCCAAATATTATGATGAAAACCCTGAAGAGATCGAGAATAAAATTGTCAAAAAAGAACCAGTCAAGGACAACAAAAATCGTAATTCGAAGGACAAGTTCTTGATCATCTTTTATGGTACTAAAGAGCGAGCTAATTCGCTGATGAATGACTTGTCTAAGACCAAAGCTGGTAAAAAGGATGTGATACCCATTGCTGATTCGCCTGTCAAATCATCTCAAGTTTATTCTGGTATGAATCTCCGAAAAAGAGGCAGTTTGACCAGTTTATCGCAACCAGGAGCAAGTTCTTATACAAAAAGATCAAAAACATTACAAGAATCAACTTTAACGAGTGACAATGGTGTTAAAAATCTAGCAAGAGATTTTGCCGAATTGACGAAGTTTGTACGAACAGAGTTAATTGAATTGAAGGACAACTTGAATAGCATCAAAGCAGATATAAAAAATTTTGGTGTTCAGCTGCAATCAAAAAGATCTTTCTCCGTTAATAGCGCAAACCCCGTCGGTCAACTATGCGTGGAGCAAATGGATGAGCAAAGATCTTCGCCAGATTGGTATTCAAAATTGAAAGAATTTGATTGGGAATCTCTTGGATTGACCGATGAAGAGGCCACAAATCTTAAGTATGTTCTTACTGAAGAGAGTAATCCATCAATATTGGTTGGTAGTATCGCCCACACTCTTTTTGGTGATAAATTGATCACTCATTTACTAGGAAAAAATGGGACGAGAGACCGAAAGGCAAAGAAAAACGACAGATCTTTAATTTTGTCAGCCGAAGAAGAATGCAAACTGCGACAGGTTCTTGGTCTTTTTGGTTCAACATTTACTAACGACACTGTTTGGAAAAAAATTGTAATTTACTATGTGAATCAGAAAGGTCGTGATCTAAAAAGAAAGCAAGATCGCTCAGGCGATGCTGAGGATAACGATAATGGCGGTCATGAATCTGACACCTTTGATTATGGTTTATGTGATAATATTTACGATCAAAATACAAGGTCACCACATATGACCGATGAAGAAAAGGAATAATTAAAACAAAATTAAACGCCCAATTGCACAACAAGATCTTATACGGATTGCAAATAGTGGACGGTCCCTGAACTATTACTAAATATTCTTTTGTTTTTCTCTCATAATAATTACATGTTGTGTTAATTGTTTTCAATTAAATTATTGTTACTTTATATTTTCTATTAAAATGTCAAATTGGAATATTGATTCAGTTCTTTCTATTATTTCTGATCTTGGCCTAAAAAGTGACTTCGATATCCCATTGAACGGTAAGATCTTGTGGCTTTTATTTTATCTATAGAATATTAAATTCTTTTATCTTTTTCAGAAGCCAGAATAATTGTCGTAGATACATCTACATTCAACGTCTACAGTGAATATCCAGACAATGTCAAATTGGAAAAAGAAGAGATCACTTCAGCTATTCAACAGGATCTTGCTCTCAACTATTCAACATTCGGCTCTTCTCAGACAAATGTGCGTGTTTGTTTTTATGGAACAGCCATGGAAGCTGATGAACATGTTGATTTTATAAAAGAAGCTCTTTTTCAAAGTCTTGGTCATGATCTTGATGCCAAAGGTGGTAGCCAAGAAAAAGATGTTAAAAGTCAAGACACCACAAAAACATGTGCCACTCTTTCTTCCTCAAGCCTGGAATCAGAGGATAATGCCCCTCATGCCTCAAAAAAGCCACGCAACAAGATCTTGAAAACGTTAATTTCAATAAAAAAACAGCAGCGCGAAAGCTTTCAATTCATGCAAAAGCTACAAAGAAAAATTGATGACATAAATGTCAAAGTGAATGCTGCCTTTTGTGATCAAGCTGTAGCCAGATCTTTGAGTGGCGAGAAAGATCTTGTTGAAGAAGCAGCTGATAGAGATCTTACAGGTGAACCAGACTTGAATTTACCTGGAACATCAGGACAAATAATCTCTGTAGGTTTGGATGCTCCAAAATTCAAGTTTATTTCAGCAAAAGCTGCTGAGAGCTATTTCGAAAAAAAGATTGTCAAGCTGAGAGATTCTCTTCCAGTAAGTAAAAAATTTGAACTCATAATTCAAGATCTTATTCTAATTATTCTAATTTTTATTTCTATTTTTGCAGTGGATCCAGTCAATAAGGACTTTAAGAATCGAAAGCATTGAAATTGAAACAATGCGAAAGTTACGATGGATTATAATATCTGGACCGGTGAAATATGGTCGATTCATCAACAAGATCTTGTTGCGGCTTTTTGGTGCTGAAAAATTGATGATTACCTTGATGGCTAAACATGAAAAACGCCATTGTTTGCGACCAGGTATCGATAGGAATAAAGTATTCAGCTCAAAAGAAGAAAGAACATTGAAAAGTAAGTGATGATAAAAAATAAATCATGCATAAAAGCTTACTAAATTTTCTTTCATTTTTTCAGATCTTCTTTTACACATTGACACTGATTTTTTTAAAAACAGTCAGGTTTGGGAAGAGCTTGTAAGAAAAAAAGCAAACCAGTTCGGTAGGGACCTGAAAAAAACCGGTTGCGACTTGAGTGACAATGATCAAGATCTTGATTCATCTGATCAAAATGAAGACGAAAATTAAACAGAAATTACCTACAATTATCCCAAATCTTTCTTCTATTTAACCATTTTCATGTTAATATTCATTCTAACAGTTACCATTTTTCTATCAAAAACCAACTTTTGTAAGCTTAAAAACAGTCAATTTCATTTCAAATGTTTTCAAAAATTGATAAATTTCATTGTGTTTTTCAATAAATGACTCGTTTCACATCAACAAGTCGTTAATTCGTATCCTGTCAAGGCCTTCGTCATGATCTTGCTTAGTAGCTTTCGTCAAGAAATCGGTTAAAAATACAATAATCTCTACCCGGGAAGTTTAACCAGAAAAAAGGTGAAAATGATTTTAAATGTAAATCAATTTAACATTACATTAATATCACAACAGCAAAAGGTTGAGCTTTTCAGGTTTCAACCTTTTGTTCATTTCCATAGAAATAGATTGAAGATTGATTTTTTTAAATTTGAAAGCTTATGGTTTGATTAACTTGGATTGTAATTAATGATAATAGTTGTTGATTGTGTAAAGGGTAAATAATTAATGGTTTAAAGTTAATCAAAAAGGTTAGACTTTGCAAAACACAAAAACAGAAAGTTAACCAGAAAAAACATTTTCACGAACCAGATTTAAATATACTTTGGTAAATCATGTTGATCATCATAATCATCTTGTTGATCATTAATCAGGCCAAATTGTTAATTCTTAACTCAACTAAACTGAACTTTATCGAAATTATTTTGTTCCATGTTCAGTTGGATCAGCGTTTTAAATGTTTTCTTGTTTTTACCTTCATTAAGAATTGGGTGGTTAAAGGCACAAAATTCAAATTAATTGAAAGATTAAGCTTCAACAATCAACTTCTATAACAGTAATAAGGAGGCAACTTAATAATGAACACAACAGGTAAACAGTTTAATTGTATTCTGTGATCAGAATTGTTGATCATTTTGATTTATGATGAGAAAACTGTTTTAGTGTAAATTAAAAATGATCAATTGTTGTAACAATTAAAACAATTGTAAAGCAAGTTACATTTGCAAATCTGAACAGAACGAGGTTTTAATGATAAATGATGAAAAGATTTAATCAATTGAGATCATCACTGATTCAATCAATGGTTTAATCTTGAAATTTCAATTTTCTTCAATTTTCAGAATTTTAGTTTTCATGAAAATTTTGTGATCACAAATGATAATCTGATTCAATATTTACTTTGATCAGTTTTAATTATGGAATGACAATTTGATGGGCAAACAGTTGGTGGTCTCGGTTAATCGACGTTAATCAAGAGGCTTGAGCTTCCATCAAATTGATCAGGTTTAAGCAATGATAATCAGTTGATTACAATTGAAACTATTAGTTAACCTCCAATAGAGTCGATCAATCAAATAAACCAATAAAATGAAACTAATAAGCCAGACAACTGTAAAGATACAAAAGACTGAACCTTGTTATAGTTTTTATTTAGCAATGAAAGGTATGAAGAGCAAAAAATGGATGAAAATTGGATGATATTAAATGATGAGGATGAAAAATATCGTTGGACTAACAGTTTTGATGAAGTCATTTGGATAACATTGAAGGCACAAATGACAACACTTGCATTCAATATTGGTAATTGGTCAAGTTGCTTTTGTTGGAAATATTTTTACTTCATTTTGAAACACTTTACCAAATTGTTACAAATAATGACAACAATCAGGTTGATCAATTGGTAACAATGAAATATTGAGGTTAAAAGAAGGAAAATTATCTCCTTTTGTTTGTCCCTTATTTGATGGTCACTTGGGTTGACTTGTGCAGTCCGACAACAGGCACAAGAATCATTATTGATTCGGTCTCTGACCTTGGTTCTAGGATGAAAGGATAGCATCCAGGTTGCTTTTGACCTGGACAAGTCCATTATATTCAATGAGAACACAAATGAGCCAATTTTGTACTTCAATCATTTCCTATTAACTATTAGATAATATTGAACAATGTTTACCAGCGAAAAATGATAACTTTACAATCTATTGATTGAAACCAATTTACAGTCAATTCAGTGGTTATTTAAGTAAATTATGATAATATTTGGTCAAAAATTGAATATTTTTTTCTTCTTCTTCAGTGAATTACTGAAAATGAATGCTAGGATAAGTGGACAAGGCTCAAGAGCAATAGAGTTACAAATGTCAAATGCTGTTAACCTTTCAAAGAAACCATTTTTCAGCCATTTGCATTGTAACTTTGCTGAAACTGGCAAAAAGAATGGACAAGATTATCGGAAATATCCAGAATTTCAATAATCAAGAGAACAATTTAAATGTTCTAATTTTTTGCATCCAACTTTTCTGGCGAAAACTTGTTTCAATAAGATTGCTTCAAGATTTTGATTGTAAAAGTAATTTTAAAGTAACTGGATCAAAATTTTCTGCAAAATTGCAGTTTTTAGAAGAAAAATTAAGTTGAATTTTTAATGATTTTTTTCATAATTAGTTGGATTCTTTATCAGATTAGTCAGAATTGAAGCATTTACTTCATGAAATGGTTAACAAAATGAATGGAAATTAGTAAAACCTTAAAAATATTAAATGTATCAAGTTGGAGGAAAAAGGATCTTTAAAGTGCTTTATTTGAATGGTCATCATCATCATAGGGAGTCGATGGATTGTTTTATCATTATTAAAGGAGTGAAAGAGAGTTAAGGTGAGGATTGAAAGACAGTGAGTAGTTAATCCGATTGACGATTAAAGTCTAAGTGATGCAGTTTCAGGTTGAAAGATGATTTTAAGGTTTGATAAAAGGGAAAAGAAAATGTTTCCAATTTGATGAGCAATTGGGTGAGAGGGTGGTGAGGAGTTTACATCAAGAATGGGATTAAAGTCAAGATTCGGATAACATGGGCAAAGGGACTCCAGACTCTGAAAGTGTTTTTGTTTTTCAAGTAACAAATGAAGATCAGAGTAAAGGCAACGTTAATGGTTATGTAAAGCATCACTTGATGCACTTTTATCTGGACATCATTGGTGGACCGCCTTATCCATTAGAGATGAAGTCAACTCAAGTCACCCTTCCAAGGGTAACAAGGGTTAAGGTAAAAGGTCAAACGTGATTAGTGTAACAAGCAAAAACGTGGTCATCATCTTTAATCTTTTTTTTCCCTCTTTTCCTTTTTTCACCAGCCATTCTTTATCCTCATCTTTATGCCAACTTTTGATATTAAAACATCTTGTTGTCAGGGGTGAGGTAAGGTGCGCTTTGACCACCTTTTGTTTCTTGTACTTTGGGTTCCAATCAGTGTTACCATGAAAATTGACGGAATCATCACGAAATTCAATGCTATTGGGTAGCAAGAGAGGTTGCACTCGCCATTTAGTGTCAATTATATTCTGCCATTTTCATTTGGTCAAAGGTCTTTCGCTCATCAATAAAATTATCTTGAAATGGTTTAAAATCAAAGTCCAATCATTAACCATTGCGTGTCAATAAGCAATCAACTTATAATTTAAGTAAATCAACAGTTGGAACAATTGAGAAACAATTGCAATCCCTTCAATAAATCACCCAAAGACACTCAAACAATAACATCTTTCAAGATCTTTTTGTTTCTGATTTACATTGAAATTGGCACTGATTCTTGACTCTAAACTAAATTTAAAATTCTGTTCTTAATTGTAATCATTTCATTCTAAATCAAAGCTAAATTAAGTTAGTAACCAATCAAAATTGTACACAAAATGAATCTCCAAATAAAATTCAATTTTCTTGCAACAAAATTTTTACTTTTGTAAATGAAGCTTTGAACTGGAAAAGGTTGAAATGTTGGATGTTTGGGAAAATATTGTTTATTGTTACAGAATTGGCATTTTAAGGGTGAAATGGAAATGAAATTGAAATTGAAATATCAATTTTGATATGAGAAACTGAGGCAATTTACATGGCTTAACGGTTAGATGTGAAGGTCTTAAACCAGCATCATTTTGGTTTCATTTTATTTTCCAATTTTCTCATGTTTTCATATTTTTTGGCTCGATGAAATATCACAAAAGTAATGATAAAATATGTAAAAAGATTAAGATTGTGAGTAAACTGATCGGATCAGGGATTGTTAAGGGAATCAACATGTTAGGCAAATTTAGTTGCCTGTCAATCAACACGCTTGTTGTAAAACTGTAGTTACATGGTAAAGTTTTCATTTTCATTGAAAGTTAATTCAATTGGTTGACAATCAGGAAATTTTTGATTATCTTTTCTCTCTGTTACTCTCTTAATGCTTGTTGCTGCTTCTTATAAAAGCTAATTTAAATAAGATGATCCATCATCAGTAAAAGGTTTCATCCATTGATATACATTTTTATATTTGATGGTTGATATAAGCTTCATGATAAAGCACAGAAATTAAATCCGATTGGAATCATCTGAGATTTTAATTTTTCTTTCTACTTCTATAGCAACAGGAGGTCGACAAGATTCACATTGAAACTCATTTCATTTCAATATCATTTTCATCTTACTTTCTCTCTCTCGCTCTCTCTTGTTCATCTTATCGTCCCATGAAACTCATTGAATAAGATGTCAATATGACATTCCAATGACACTCAATTCAGTTGAATCATGTGTTGATGTGTTTACAAATGGTTTAACAAATTGAAAGTCAACAGGTTAATTTGAAACTTGATCAGGCAAAAAGTGAAACAAAATTGTTTCAAAAGTTAAAAATGAATCTCTTTGAAAACACGGAAACAGTCAATGGTCAAGATTGCATTTTATTTGGGGTTTGATGAAGATTTACTCAATCAGCAGGAGTTAAACATTTACATCGAAATTTTGATTTGATTTGAGTCAATTTGTCGGAAAATTTTGCCTTTTTCAGACAAATTGTTCATTTTCTTCATTTCTTAAAATTAAAATCTAATAAAATTGCAAGTCTCAAGATTCTGATGTTATAACCATGAAAGATTTTCATTGTAAATATTGAGAATCGTTTTTGTAACGATTTTCTCATTCTAATTATCACTTCACAATTTTTGTTATTCCGAGAAAGGAGTGAATGCAAAAGATTTCCTTTCAAGTTAAGCCCATTTGAGTTTATTCCCGACTAATTTTCCTTTAAAACAAAGAGAACTAAGGAACATCACCGTTGAATCATCAACATTATTAAAGAAACCTCATTGTCCCAAAGTATTGTATAAAAGTATTCATTTTTCATTATAAAACAATAAACTCAATCAAAAAGCAATGCATTTGATGCTAAAAAGACTCAATAAACACATTTGCAACATTTATGCATCAAACTTGTGAACGTAATGGCCAAAAACGGCCAAAAATTCATTTCTTGCAAATTTAAACACTGTTAGTTTGTAGAGAAATGAAAACTACGATCATTAGTACTATTAAAAAACTTCTCCGATCGCCAGTTAACGAGAAAATTGAGGTCAAAGTTGAAACTTCGATCACATTTTGAGCAGTTGTCTGATCAGATTTTTTCATGAAACTCATTTCCCTCGAGTTAATTTTGATGCCCAACCAGAAAATGCCTTTAATTTGAGTGATGGAATTTTTATTTTCTGTAAAATCCATAAGTTCGATTTTCAATCAAACCGACCGATTTCGATGACCACAATAGTTAAAGATCTGAAACTTATTTTTCGTACACAAAAATCATCTGCAAACATCACGGAATGATTATTTTTTTCAATTCATAGATAGTTCTCATGATATTGGCCATTGACCTGAAAAGTTTGGGCCTCGATATTGCGAGAATGGCATCTATTTTCGTCATCATTCTTTGGCCAAATATTAGATTTCATTAGGTGCTATAATATATTGAAATAAAACAAAAGTTCGAGATTCTACAAGAAAAGTTACATCATTGGTGTACTTATGTTACCAGATTTTAGACTTGATTCATAAAGTTAAATGGGTACTCAAAGACAAATCATATTAATTGAATCAGTCAGAATTTTATTGGTATTCACTCATATCAGATTATAGTCCGGAATAAAATCTGATGTTTGATCAAAGAATTGTGCTTGTATGTGATGCCACAGATAGGTTTCTGACCAAGGACTCAACGACAAGGAA